TGTTGAACAATCTGTTTGGAGTCGTCTTGAGGTTTCGAGAAAGAGGAGTAGCAGTGACATATCCAAAACCGAGTACTCATCCTGGAAAAGAATCAACATGTCCATCGGTTCCTATGGAGAAATTTGGAAACAGAGAGAGAACCTGATGTGTACGAAAAAACCGTCCTCACGTTTGGTGATAAGCCGGCGCCTGCTATGGCCCAAATTGCGTTAAGAAAAACAGCTGAAGAAAACAAGAAGGACTACCCGGAAGCAGCCGAAGTGCTCACAAAGAATTCTTACATGGATGACATTTGCGGTTCTGTAGACACTGTAGTGCAGGCTCAGAAGTTGACTGGAGATCTAGACAAAGTACTCGAAAGTGAAGGGTTTGCCGTGAAGGGCTGGACATCGAACAAAGTTCTGATCAACACAGAAAATCAAGAAAGGGGATTCAAGGTTTTTCAGGAAGAAGTTGAATAAAAGGTGCTTGGAGTGATCTGGAAATGCGTTGCAGATGAGTTCAACTTCAAAGTTAAAGTGGATTTACCGCGCTTGAAAAATCGTTCAGTAGACCGTGGAATAAAGATGACCAGGAGAACGCTTCTCAGTCAAGTTGCCCGCTTCTATGACCCCATTGGATTCGCAGCTGCATTCGTCATCAGAGCCAAAATAGGTTTCCAAGAGCTGTGGCAGATTGGTCTTAATTGAGACGATGAGCTCCCATGTGAGGTACAAGAAAAGTGGATTCGGCTCTTCAAGGAAATGAAGGAGCTCGACCAGATTGGTTTCAAGAGATGCCTGATTCCACCCGAAACTCCAGAATCACCAGCAGTGTGTGTCTTCTCAGACGCCTCGCAAGAAGCATTTGGGGCCTGCGCGTATATCCGACAGAAAACGAAACAAGGCACCTATGAAGTTAACTTCGTCGCGGCTAAGTCTAGGGTGGCACCCCTAAAGCAGCTGACAATTCCACGTCTGGAGTTACAAGCAGCTGTCCTCGCCTCCCGCCTCGCGAAAACAATAGTGAAAGAGTGTACGATTCAATTTGGCGATGTCAATCACACTTGCATGGATTCAAAGTCTTCCCCGCAGTTTCAAGCCGTTTGTCTCGGCAAGGGTTGGAGAGATCCAGAATAACTCGGACCCAAGTCAATGGAAACACATTCCCGGTGAAGAAAACGTAGCGGATGATTTGTCGCGAGGATTACATGTAAAGCAGCTAACGGGGAGATGGATGAACGGCCCAGAATTTCTGAAACTTCCAGAAGAACAATGCCCAGTCCAAACAGCTACACTGCATCGCGAAGGAGATGTGGAGCGTCGCCACGTCAATACCGTCAGAGCAGCCTCGCCTGCAGATGTCGGAAATGTTATCAATGTGAAGAATTTCTCCAGTTGGCGAAAGCTGATACGAGTCACCGCGTGGAGTCACCGATTAGCCGAGAAGATACGCCTCAGGAGAAACGCAACCAGTGGACGAGAAGGACCTCTCATGCCCGAAGAGTTAAGGAAGGCTGAGATATCATGGATCAGAAATGCCCAAAAGGATTTGAAGAGTCGAATGAGGAATTGAGAGTTTAAGACCCTGAACCCATTTGTTGACGACAAGGGGATTATCAGGGTTGGAGGAAGAATTGACAAAGCCCTCGTGTCATACGAAGAAAAGCACCCAGTGCTGCTTCCCAATGAGCACAGGATATCGCTGCTGATCATACGCCATATGCACAGCTATGGTCATCCCGGAGTAGCGATAATGACTGCAAAAGTCAGAGAAAAGTACTGGATTTTGAAAGAGAAGAAGCCCGATGAGAAAGTGAAATTTGAATGTGTCACTTGTCGAGAAAGCACAGACCGGGCAGAGACGCAGTTAATGGCAGACCTTCCGGCTCTCCGCTTAGCACCGCAAACGCCGCCCTTCTACTACTCCTCATGCGATTATTTTGGTCCATATAATGTGAAGATAGGGCGTAACAAGACAAAAACCACTATGGCGTCATCTTCACCTGCTTAAACACAAGAGCTGTCCATCTAGAATTAGCAGTCGACCTCTCGACAATGGAATTTATCTAGGTGCTAAGAAGATTTTTCTCCATCC